CCATCAGTTGTGACATGTGTAAATGTGTGTACGGTGGCTTTGGGATCACGTGGACTGGAATAGGAGTCACCAGAGTTAGGTGTGCGCAACGATGTACTAGTAGTAGCGATGCCTTTGTGACGCGCAGGTGGGGTTATCGTTCGACTACCCGCTGAGATGGTGGTACTATTTGGACCCACTGGGTGAAGAGGAGGAGTGGCGTGAGGATCATTTTTAAGCTTACGACTGGCAGGATACCCTCCAATAATAAGGGGCTTATGAGAGAAGGTGGTTTCAGAGCTACCCATGTAGATGACATCAATGGATTTTCCTTTGATGTCGGAGAAGGAGGGAAAAGGATTTTGAGTTCACTTTCCCCTAGTTTTCCTCGCCTGAACTAGGAGGTTAGGGTCAGCCAGGCTGCTTGAGGAGGACAGGGGAGAAGCAGGATTAACTATCCTGCTCTCCATAGGAGAGATTGAAAATATGGGGATGATGAAGTCCCCAACTTGGACAAAAGAGGAGTAATGAGACTCCATTGTAGTTCTAGAGAGAGAAAGAAGAGAGATGTTTGCCTGAGAACAGTCCGAGACAACTATAGGGTGGCATGTCCTCAGTGGAGTCGTTAGTTGGTCAGGCCTGATTTTTCCTCGTGAGTACGGCTGAAAAAATCATCTCTCAAACTACCGCGAAGGGTCCACGCGGGCTGCACGTTTGTGAGTGTGCGCACATTTGTGAGTGTGTACACGCGTGCTCTCTTATGCATGAATAAGTACCAACAAAGAGAGAGATTTTGCAACAGGGGGTGTGTTTTAGACACTTACCTCATTGTTTGGGGTTCAGGACAAACACCCAGGCAGTTTGCCCTCTTTGAACAATTACGAATCCCTCCGGCTGTCAGCTAGCGTTGTTTGGACACAAACTCTCCTCAGGATTTTAACACGTAGCTTCGTTCTCTTGCACTGGAAACTGCAATGTGGATTTGATTGTAGTCCTCTATAGTGACTCGCTCGAACGGGGGCTGGCCGACAAAAAGAAGGGATAAGAGAGAATGGTGATGAGAATTCACCCATCGACGCAAATGCTATGCGCTCAGTTAATCAGGGCAATCGAAGGAACTCTCTTGACTACCGTCTCAAGAAGACTCCTACCGAGTGACTGAGGGAGAGAGCGTATGCGTCTCTCACAACGCAACTCGATTATACGGAGAGGAAGTTAGAGCGATGGGCTGAGGGTTGGAACTCTTAGGCTGACTCTGAAAGGTATAGAGTCAAGCGTATGTCGAATAACAGGATTCTATGTGATACCATAGGTTTGTTGCATTTATGCTACAGATGGAAGGGGGAAAGAGATGGGACCGCACGTTTTCTGCAGGCACGCGTTACTACACAGGGCAAGAAACGAGTGAAGAGAGAGAAGAAAGATAAAAGAGAAAGAGAGAGAGAGAGAATGAAGCCACGATACTAGGGTGGGCTAGAGGTAGTTTCTCTCTCTAAGAAATTTTTCTCTCTCTTCAGCGTTGGATCCAAGGGTTAGGAGCAAAATACAAGTGAAAACGAGCTTAATGCATCTATTTTGTTAATGAATGATCCGGCTTCTTTACAATTGACCTAAGCTTGTTTATATAGAGAACCCACGAACAGAGGTGGATGCTCAAAACTAAGCTTAATAATAATTAAAAGAAATTACAATAAAATCCTAAATTTATAAATAATGACAAAAGTGCCCTTAGAACTTTTTGTGGTAATGACGAAACCATTCCTTTTTTATGGGCCTTTCGCCATTGCCAGGTCTTGGAAGCTTTTTCGGATGTTTGTGTCGGTGATTGAGATGATCGATCATCGTAGTCTAGATGCTTGCTTGATTTTGAAGAGTTTGATGTCTTTTGATCATCGTGAGACGAACGTTTTCTCGAGAGGTAGAAATCTAGCTAGATCGCGAACATTTGTGATGACCAGATTTTTCCCGACCAGTTAAAGTACATAGCAGGATAAGGAGGAAGGAAGGAAAGAAGAGACCAGTGCCGCCTATGTTGTATGCAGCGCCACCAGTGAAGAGACTAGCGCCTCCCGTGATGAGACCAGCACCAGCTGTGTTGTGTGCAGCGCTAGCGGTGAAGAGACCAGCGACGTGTTGTGTGTAGCACCGGTTGTGAAGGGACCAGTGCTGGCTGTGTTGAGTGTACAACACTGGCTGTAAAAAAGGAATGGCCCAACACTGGCTGTGCGTCATCGTGTATGTAGCACCAGCTGTGTTTGCTACATGCATGGATTATGAATGCCACTTGTTAAATGCATGCTGATTTGAGAGCCACTTATCCAAATTTTTTAGCCTCTTGGTGACATTTGGTCAGCCGCCTCAAACACAAGAGTACTTAAGCCTCTTCTCTCACCAACACGACTCATTCTTACTTCATCTCTCTCTCTCTAACACACAAGGTTTGAAGAAGTGACTGTTGGAGAACAGCCATTGTTGGGTGGGTGAGAGCTGTGAAAAGAGGATTCGAGAAGGCAAAATTGTTGTTTAAGTAAGTGGATCCATCACCATTACATTATAGTTATAAGGATGCATGAGTTTTATGCTTGTAAGAGGAGTACTGAATGTTTGAGTGATGTAGAAATTTCTTACGCCTTGTTCACTGAAATTGGAGTTTTTGTTCTATAATGGAAGTGGATGCTGAGAATGAATGTATGATGCTGATAATGACTGTTTTCCTGAAATTTTCACTGATACTACAGTAATCACTGATTTTAGATAACCAAATGAAGTTCGTTTTTTATAAAACCATAGCCATCTGAAAGATATTTGAATGAGCTAAAATTTTCATGAAGAAACTATTTTTAAATTCTTCTTAGATTGAAAGTTATAATTTGTTTTATGAAGGTATGTTACTGTGGGCAGTGTCGATAAAATTCAGAACTATCACCTGGTTTGGAATAAATCTTTAAACCACCAAATGGTATCCAAATGATTTCAAATTAGTTTTTTCCAAAATTTATACGTCTTGGCTCCAACTTTTATTTTGAAACTATCACAAGTTACCTCGTGGTTTGGGAGTTATAGTGATATGAAGCAAGGTATGTCGTTGTCCCCTATGCACTGCAAGGTGCAGCTAGTAAACCCTCACCGCTTTAAATCTTTAAGAGATCAAACGGGGTCCAATTGTCTTCAACCCACTCCCATTTGAAAGATAGATGTGTTTAGTACAAAATTAGTTTTGAAACCATCTTCAAACTCTAAATGGCCAAAAATTTATGACCCTAATGGTAAGCACACGTTATTGCCCTTGATGGCAGGAAATTGAGTGGTAGGCTTAACTGGAATAATGTTACTATTACTATGATACTGCCATTTTGATACTGTTTAAATGTGATATGCCACTATCAAAATGTGATATTGCTACTATCAGTTTGAGGTACTGATATCGTCATAATGTGATACCGTGCTTCTTATGTATCATGTGAATGGGTACCTACTGTGTGAATGATGGTACCCTACTGCTTATGTGTTATGTGAATGGGTACCTACTACGTGAATGATGGTACCGTGCAGCTTGTATTTCATGTGAATAGGTACCCACTATATGAATGATGGTACCATGCTGCTTATATGTTATGTTAATGGGTACCTACTATATGAATGATGGTACAGTGCCGCTTATGTGACATATGTGATTGGGCACCTACAGTGTGAATTATGGTGCTAGCAGCTAAGATCTTTCCCTAACTCCCCATAATAGGACAAGAGTTAGGAGTTGAATATTTGGAAGGGTCACACCCCCCAGATCTATATAGGCATTACGTATTGGGCCACCCAATGGTAGTGTAACACTTTCTCGCTAGAAGGGCATAAGGAGAGGGTCGTGTCTTGCAGGCCAATCGAAAAACCCAAAGCATGCTGGGGATGTATGTATGTGTGAGGGCATTACGAAGTGGGGCAGCCATTTATCATTGTCCTGCCTCCTGAAAGAGGGTAGAGGTTTCAAGCAACAGGATTGGCTCAGCTTAAGATATGTAACTTCTACTTCTGAAGTAGGCCCTACTAGTTCTATAATTATGTTACGTTGCCCCTACTATATTGTCGATAATGAAGTGATTTATGACTGATGTGTTGTATATTAGACTGGTTCATCATAATATTGTTAGAATATTGGAAAGCATATTAGAAGACTCCACTTGGTACTTTGTGAATATATGTACATTTCTTATTGTTATCACTGTTATACTAGTTGGAATGCAATGGTGTAGATCTGCTTGCTGGGCTGTTAGCTCAGTCTATCTCATTTACATAACTATAGAGTGAAGGGTGTCCGCATCTGTGCTAAAGGCTAGTAACCGTTTGAAGCTCAAAGTTGAGAAGTTTGAAAAGTCATCATCAGAAGACTTTCATAGTATACTATGATGTATATTTTATTTTGTGTATATTTTTTGGGCCAGTAGTGCCTTGAAGGAACTGTAAGAACTTTTGGATATTGAATGAATGAGATGATTGTACTTTTGAATTGCTATTGTCTGTTGAATGGATTTATTCTAGTTTTCTCTCAAGGTTTGCTCTTGATTCCATGTTTTTATGCGATGAGCCACTCCCACCTGAGCGATGTTCACAACCTCTGGTCGCGATCCTGTGCTTTGTCGCCCTCCGACAAGGTTCAGGAGGCGGGATCATTACAATTATGGTATCATAGCAGCCAGGATAAGATTCTTGGGTTAGGGATTCCTAAGAATGTTTGTAAGATAGTTCTTTGATAGGCTAATAACTGGATGTTTATGTTTTAGGTTGGAGATGTCGAGGACTCGTACCAACAACGCAAGTTCAAGTAATACGAACATTGAGGCCTTCAGTGAATTCGTCAAAAATTTGGGGGCCATGACACAAATGATGAGAGAAGTTATGCCGACCCCATCTACCCCCGCCTCTTATATGAATGATAGTAATCTAATAGAAAGGTTCAGGAGGCTGGCACCTCCAAACTAGGGCATGGGGGACTAGAAAAGGCCGAGAGATGAAGAAGGCAGATAGAAATGATCTTTGAAGTCCTAAATTGTATAGATGAGCAGAAAGTTTGGCTGGGTACTTCTATGCTCGAAGGAGAAGCTGAGGACTGGTGGAGCTCAGTAAAACTGTCGGGGGAAGGGTTAGGAGTTGTGACTACTTGGGAGAATTTTTTAGAAGTCTTTTATGAGAAATATTTCCCCGACTCTGTAAAGGAAAGGAAAGAGGTAGAATTCATAGAGCTCCAAGGAAATATGGATGTTGAGAAATATGCAGCGAAGTTTGCTGAACTCTCCAGATATGCGCCGCATATTATTAATTCTGAGGCGCGAAAGGCTAGTAAATTTGAGAGGGGCCTTCTGCAGGATATAAGGGGAAGGACTATCACAACAAACCTCAAGACCTTCTCCTTGCTAGTGGACTTGGCCCCAAAGATGGAGAGAGATTGTGACGACTTTCAGGCAAGAAGAGATGAAAGGTTGGGTGTCGCTCAGTCTGGGAGTTTTAAGAAGAAGGCACGACCACTTCCAAGGAGAGAGTTGAAGGGGAGAAACAATCAAGGTGGTGTCAGGACCTTGGGGATTGCTCCAAATGATGTAAGGGGCAACCAACTCCCAGTTTGCCCTCACTGTGGTTTGTGAAATCATACGGCAGCTTAGTGCTTCAGAAAGACCACGACCTGCTTTCGACGCCGCAAATTGGGCCATCTAGTGAAAGACACTCTTGTCAGGGGATCAGAGGACCAACCGAGGGCTCAAGGGTGGGTGTTTGCCCTAACCCAGCAAGCAGCTAAGGTGTCAACCTTTGTGATTTGAGGTACGCTTTCTGTATGTCGAATTGAAGAAAAATTCTTAATTGCTCCAAGATCTTCCCATTCATTTGTTGCACTGCACTTTGCATGTCACTTGAATGTTAAGCCTGTACAACTTGTTTGGACTCTGTTAGTATGTACGCCTTTGGGAGAATCAATAGAAACTGACGTAATGTATAAACAGTGTGAATTGTGATTCAAGGGAATTTGTTGCCTATAAATTTGATACTCTTAGATGTTCAAGACTTTGATATTATCTTGGGTATGGATTGGTTTCCACCCACTATGCTACAGTGAACTGCTTAGATACGACTGTAACCTTTAAACGCCCAAGCCAACCTAAATTACACTTTAAGGGCATGAAGGATAATTCTTCTTTACACATCATCTCAGCCCTTCGAGTCTCTCGCCTATTGGCCAAAATATGTGTAGGATACTTGGCTTACGTCGTAGAAAATCGGGATGTTCAATCTAAATTAGAAGAAATACTGGTGGTGAGAGAATATCCAAAGGTCTTTACTGAAAAGTTAACTTCTCTGCCCCAGTTAGGGAGATTGAATTTGAAAAAGAGGTGGCCCCTGGTACTACTCCTATTTCTAAAGCCCCATATAGGATGGCCCCAGCTGAGTTAAAAGAATTGAAGGAGCAATTACAGGAATTATTGGATAAGGGGTCATCCGACCTAATGTATCACCATGGGGTGCACCGGTTTTATTTGTGAAGAAGAAAGATAGGTCTTTGAGGCTATGTATTGACTATAGACAGTTGAATCAGGTTACAGTGAAGAATAAATACCCGTTGCCCAGAGTTGATGATTTATTTGATCATCTGCAAGGGGCCCAAGTATTTTCTAAGATGGACCTTTGATCTGAGTACCACCAATGGCATGTTAAGGAAGACAATATCTCCAAGACTACGTTAGGACTTGTTATGGCCACTATGAGTTCTTAGTCATGCCTTTTGGATTGATGAACACCCCGACTGTGTTTATGGATCTGATGAACAAATTCTTTAAGCCCTATCTGGATAAATTTGTAGTGGTCTTTATTGATGATATTTTACTGCTAATGTGTTATGTGAATGAGTACCTACTGTGTAAATGATGGTATCGTGATGCGTATGTGTTATGTGAATGGATACCTAATGTGTGAATGATGGTATCATGCTGCTTTTGTGACATATGTGATTGGGCATCTAATGTGTAAATGATGGTGCTGGAAGCTAAGATCTTTCCCTAACTCCCCATGATAGGACGGGAGTCAGGAGGTAAATATTTGCGAGGGTCGAACCCCCCAAATCAATATGGGCACTGCTCATTGGGTCACTCATGGTAGTGTATCGCTCTCTCATCAGAAGGCCATAAGGAGAGGGTCGTGTCTTGCAAGGCCATTGCCTATCGAAAACCCTAAAGCGCATTGGGGATGTGTGTGTGACGACATTACGAAGTGGGGCACCCATTTGTCATTATCCTCCCTCCTAAATGTGGGTAGAGGTTTCAAGCAACATGATTGGCTAAGCCTGAGTGATAGAACTTCTACTTCGGGTGTAGGCCTTACTAGTTTTGTAACTGTGTTACGTTGCCCCCACAATATTGTCGATAATAAAGTGATTTATGACTCATGTGTTGTATATTAGGCTGCTTCGTCATAATATTGTTAGAATGTTGAAAAGCATATTAGAGGACTCCAATTGGTACTTTGTAGATATTTGTACACCGCATATTGTTTGAATGCATTTTGTAGCACCTTAGTCCCTGATGCGGAATAAAGAAGGAAGCAGGTCAATAAAGCCTACAAAATAAGTGGAAATTTCAACAGTCTCATAATTACCCCAGAATTGGTCAAGATCTTCATCATCACTCTAGAAGGCCACCTACCAAGTTTCATCACAATCATACATGTTTAAAGCAGTGAACACAAAGAAACAATTTTGAAAAAATTGACCTCTAGCACCCAAAAAAGGACCCTATAACTAGAATTATATTTTGGTGCGTCAAACAGTTGTGGGACTATCGTCATTGAATCTAGTACGGTCGAAAACCCTTATGGGTCAAGTTTCAGCTTAATCGGGTACTTCAAGACAAAGTTAGAGATATAATACCGAAAAGGGGTAGGCCGTACACTATTCTCATGAGGCCACCCTGCATCAAAACACCACTAAAAGTGGTTGTTTTTACAGCCACGGGCACTCACTTTCGGGGCCTATATCTCACTCGATCTGAGTTGGATCGCCCCCAAATTTGGTGAGCGTGTTCGTCTCATCAAGACGAGCGATTTGATTTGTGGTACGCCCCAAGACGATGCCCGAGTAGGAGACAAACTAGAGAGAAGTTGTTGATCCATGAAGAAAGTTGCAGTTGCAGCGTGCCCACCCCGGTGGCCAAATCACGAAGCTCGCATACCCGATCGACACGAAATCAATTGCATTATGTGTGTATGGTCTGTGGCCATCTCTAGTCCAAACCTCGCGTATGATCAATGGTCAGATTTCACACACAAAGGTATCAAAGATGCTATAAATTTCATCCAAAACCTCAAGACAACCAAATCTTCGTCAGGACACGAAATCGAGTTGCATTTGTTGCAACATGATCGTGACGACATGCTCAGTGTGATTCAGTGAAGAAATCATGCAGAAACATCAAGGAACGAACACCCAATCGATCCAAAGTTTTCAAGATTCAAAAAAATTTCAGGTTTCATGATCATTGCTTAAAAACATGATTCATGGCTCGAAGTTGGTATCAAATCGATCACCATGCCAAACCGCACAAGAAAATAACTATCTTTCGATTAAACTGGCATTAAAACAACCCCAAATCAGCCATAAAATATCACGCAAGTTCTCAAGCAGCAGCATGGACTGTTCTGAAATTCCACACATTGTTAAGTTAGGGCAAAACATTCCTTTTGCACCTATTTTTATAATTTATTTTGATTCAATTAAATTATAATTATCTTCAATTTTAGGTAGTTTGGGGCATATACTCATGTTTTAGCCCAATTCTATATAAGCATGCAAAGCCAAATTGTAAAAGACCTTCGTTCATTTCACACGACGATCGATAAAATTTTGATATCCTCTTGAACTGGTGAGTGCATCTTGGAGAGAGAGAGAGAGAGAGAGGAGAGAAAAAAGGCCGGTACGCTTCGGTAAGGTAACTTTCTCTCCTCCCCTCTCTCTACTCCCCTCTTTCTCTCTCTTCATCTCCATATCTCCTCCTCTCTTTCTCTCTCCGCTTCTCTATCTCTCCTTCTCTCTCTTCTTATCATCACTATCCCTCTCTCTTCTTCTCATCCCTATCTCTCTCTTCTTCTCATCCCTATCTCTCTTTCTCTCTCTTTTTCTGATCCCTATCTCTCTTTCTCTCTCTTCTTCTCATCTCTATCTCTCTTTATCTTCATTTTTCTCATATTTTATCTCTCTCTCTCTTCTTCTTGTCTCTATCTCTCTTTCTGCTCTTCATCAAGCATAGTCTGTAAAGCCTAACGTCGACTGAATCTTCTTTCTCTTCTCGTCTAACACAATCGATGAAGCCTAACACCAACTGTATCTACTCTCTCTTCTCGTCTAACACAGTTGGCGAAGCCTAGCGTCAACTGCATCCTCTCTCACTTCTCGTCTAACACAATCGTCAAAGCCTAGTGTCGTCTGCATCTTCTCTCTTCTCTATCCAACACAGTCAGCAAAGCCTAGCACCGACTGCATCCTCTCTCTCTTCTCTGTCCAACACAGTCGGCGAAGCCCAGTGCCGGCTGCATCCTCTCTCTCTTCTCTGTCAAACACAGTCGGTGAAGCTTAGCACCAACTGCATCCTCTCTATCTTCTCTGTGAAACACAGTCGGTGAAGCCTAACTCCGACTGCATCCTCTCTCTTCTTGTCTAACACAGTTTGTAAAGCCTAGCGTCGGCTTCATCTTCTCGCTCTTCTCTGTCTAGCACAGTTGGCGAAGCTCAGAACCGTCTGTGTTTTTCTCTCTTCCCTCATATTCTTCTTTTTCTTTCTTTCTCTTCCCACTCCTTTCTTTTCTATTCTTCCCTTATCTTACTCTTCTTATGTTTTTTCTTTATGATATCTGTTATTTATGTTATTCTTTCGTTTGATTAAGGAGGGGTTGAGATTAACCGAATATAGTAGTCATGTCGTCTAGCCGTAATGTTGTTGTGCTAAACGTATTATGCCCGCTTTATTGCCATGACAGACTAGCCATCGTGTCTAACTAGTCAGTATCGGTATTGACATCTAGTAGTAATCCTGTTGAGCCTGTCTGAGTTACCAAGCCCATTTTACTACCACATCAGACAAATTACTCATCAACTTAGTCACTGTGTTGATCTCCTCGCCTGGTCAAATTCTTCGCTCCCCCATCTTTCTTCTCTCATTCTTCTCTTCTTCTTTTGAATGTGCATGCTTATGTATGTTAACCAAAGAGGCAAGGTGAGGTTTGTTGACCCACCTGTCTTATAATATTAGTCATATGTGTGTGATTACAGAAAACAGGAGAATACATGCCAAGGCAGGTGATTCCAAACCAGTTTTATTACTGGGGGGCTTTCTTCGTGATCTAAGAGGTTGCCCACGGAAGCCAACCTGAGTAAGTCTCGAACCCACCTTAAATTCCTCTCCCCTTGGTTAGTAATATCTACCCTTGTTTTCGAATGAGGTTCTCGAGATAGCAATCTCAAAATTCTCGTGTATCCCCGAAACCCAAGACGCGTCCCACCCGATCATCAAGATCTAGAGAGCGAGATTGAGGTACCTAACCAGCTTGGCGACTCCGATGGGGACTTACTACCCCTTAGTCAAATCGTACTTGTTTGGCTAAGCTT